TCATACCTCAGCGAACCAGACTGGAACAATGAGCTAGGTCTGGCTGCTATCTAGCGAAGCAGAGTCTCGACCCCACAAAACCCCGGACCAGAAGTGACCTGCTGGAGAGTGCGCAGAGAAACTCAGCAGTACTGACAATGAGGATGAGGAGGGACAAGACAATGGTGAATACAATGAACGTTGTGTGAGATTTAAAAATGTGTGTTCACTCGCAACTTATTATTTATTTTCTTACTTACTCCGTCCTTATGTTTCCAGCGGGACTCCCCTCTGTCCAGCAGCCAGCAGCTCCAGTCATGTCAGAGGCGGAGCTTTCAGATCCCGTTCCCTGCACAAAGCACCACCTTCTCCAAATGTCCAGAAAGGGACAACAGACACCATTCAACCTTCCCTCACAATCACTGACTCAACTCCAACCTCAGCCCTCTCAGTTCTGTTATTTCCATATCCTCAACTCCATCGCACCAACCTCAAGTGCAGTACTTTTTCCCAGGCACAATTACAAATTCCCTTCTTTTCACTCAGCCCCAGTCCCTTCCCAAATATCTTCTTTTATTCCCCTCCCTCTGCTCGGTCACGGTCGCCAACACTCCAAATCCACTCCTCTGGCTCCTTGTCTCCGCAGCCTCTCTTTTCTGTATGTCTGCTCGCTGGGCGGCGAGGTGTGAGCGCCCCCCTCTGTGCTCCTCCCTCGGGCCTTACGTATTATCACACGCCAGTGACAGCAGCGGGCTTCCCCGATGACACACCGCCCCATGTCTGTCCTGGGCAAGCCTCAAAAAGTAAACACAACAACACATACAGTGTGAAAAACAATATAAAAGCTCACATTTATCAGCCAACTAGCGTGTAGCAATCAGAAATTGTGTTTTTCGTAATCAGGCAGGACAACGACAGCTCTACAAAGAAAGCAACAAATAATGTTTCGAATTAAAATCCTGTGAGGGTTAAAAAGTCTGAACAGTACGCCTGCGTGATTGTTAATACTGTGATCCTGTTTTTATTTTTATTACTACCAGATGGCTAATACATATGACACAGATGGGGCCAACCTCACAATGTGTCACGAAAAATCAGATGATACCTCAGAGGAAATTCATTACGAAATATTCAGGCCCTTGCGAGTTAAGATGATGACTGTACAGAGCAGTCACTGTACGTATCGCGTGGAGTGGTCCCTCGCTCTACCACAGGGAAGCAGCAACCCCACAAACGAAGCACAACGGGCATGCCGCACGTCCCAACTCCACAGTCTAGTTTCATTTCTTTTTGTATTCAAACTCAAGGCTCATGATAGTCTGTTTGTTACATTCTCTGTCACCAAAACAGAGCGTACCTGCCACTTCCTGGTATTCTGGTCCCTTGATGCTGATCAGGTGATGGAGGTGGATTATCTACGATGAAGAGACATCAAACGTGAGATATTTTGGCTGTTGCAGTTGCACTGTGCTCTGGCTAGTCATCTACCTTAATTTTCATTATGTTCAAGTTATTTCTAATTTTCAGTGTTTCACTATTGTTGCCGCTAAATCATATGATCGTATATTGAGGATTTTGTCAATTTGTCTTCAGAATATATGCTTATATTGAATTCTCCTCATGCTGTAAACTCCAAATGTAATGCATACCATTTTAAATGTGTTCATAAAGGCTGTCAGGCTGAGGGGGTGCTGTACCACCCATCCAATGTTTCCTGGCCCAACCCAGACATTGTGAAGACGATGCCCTTTGACTACACCATCCATGACCCCAAATATGAGGAAATCAGCTCTGTCTACTGCCCTGGATATAAATCAAGTGCTGATGGTATGCACAGTCAGAACACACACACAAACACACAATACAATATATTCTCACACAATTAAACTATATTTAAAAAACATTGATGTTCTCTAATGTCTTACTTATAAATACAAATTCTAAGACCAGGGCCGTCCCTCCCTACAGGCCGATCATGCAGGCTGCATGGGGCCTCACATTGCGCAGGGGGCCTCGGCTTATGAGCTTGGCTTGTGCGCAGTTCTCCGTCTAGTTGGCTTAAAACATGGAGCATTTTTTCCACTTTTATTCATTTTTATGTCAATTTGCACATTTCATGGTGATGCTCAGCCTCTCCCCTTAACTCCTAACAGTCATCATCATGTCAACCACAACACAGAGAGATACTGATAGAAATGTGTGTGTAGTTGATACATTGCTGACAGAGGGAAATACATTTGAATACAGATTTTAAGAAATATCCGTTTTTGAGCATGTAAAAAGCATGTTTTGTCTTGACTATATTACAACTATATAGTTTATTTGCATTAATTATATTTTAATCTTTTTGAGGCTAGTATTTGGCAGGAAATGCAGACGTATTCACCTGTTAATACATACTGAACGACATACATGCACATTTACCATTTACCTCACTGTATAAAAAAGTAACTGTTGATAATAATAATAATAATAATAATAATAATAATAATAATAAACAGGAATTATATTTGCAAAGTACTTTGTTTTCCAAAAAAAATTGTTTCACTCCTGTCGGTGGGATCCTCATCTCACAATGTCGCTTGGGGCAGCAAGTTGGCCAGGAGACGGCCCTGCCAAACCCATACATGTATGTTGGCTTTATCTAGTTCCTAGAGATCTGTCTTTGCCCAAGTCGTCTTTCCAAGGATGACTGTGGCCAGGACGCATGCTTCCTCTAGCTGCGCCTCCATGATCAGCTGAAGCTGCGGGCCTAAACAACATACATCACTGGCTGAAGTCAGTGCTCTATCAGTACCTGGGATCATGAAGTACGCTCAGATCTCTACCAGGTCAGAAGGATGAGATGAATGTGATAAGGCATCACAGCTCTGGCTTTTGACATCTCGAATGACTCACAGTGAAATATGTCCTCTTATACTTTATCAGCTGAGTCATTGAGAATTCCAAAAGCAGTGTCGTGGATGTCCAGTTATCAGAATCGTGTGTTCTGCCGACCTGGTATTCTGGGGTTGATGCCCAGGTACTGAATGACACCTGTTTCACAGTGATGGTTATGTGTTCGTAGGCCGCATTATTTTGACAGCTTTGATCCCTGGATGTCCGCCCTACGTACGGTAAACAGTTCCTTGGCGCACAGGGGTTTCCTTGGAAAGACAACAGGGGCAAAGACAGATAGAGACAATAGGCACAAACATTCATGTTAGGGTCCTTGGGCCAGGCCGTCCTGGCCAACTTGCTGCCCCAAGCGACATTTGTGAGATGGAGGCCCCCCGCCCCCACGACAGGAGTGAAACAATTTTTTTTGGAAAACAAATTACTTTGCAAATATAATTCCTGTTTATTATTATTATTATTATTATTATTATTATTATTATTATCAACAGTTACTTTTTTATACAGTGAGGTAAATGGTAAATGTGCATGTATGTCGTTCAGTATGTATTAACAGGTGAATACGTCTGCATTTCCTGCCAAATACTAGCCTCAAAAAGATTAAAATATAATTAATGCAAATAAACTATATAGTTGTAATATAGTCAAGACAAAACATGCTTTTTACATGCTCAAAAACGGATATTTCTTAAAATCTGTATTCAAATGTATTTCCCTCTGTCAGCAATGTATCAACTACACACACATTTCTATCAGTATCTCTCTGTGTTGTGGTTGACATGATGATGACTGTTAGGAGTTGAGGGGAGAGGCTGAGCATCACCATGAAATGTGCAAATTGACATAAAAATGAATAAAAGTGGAAAAAATGCTCCATGTTTTAAGCCAACTAGACGGAGAACTGCGCACAAGCCAAGCTCATAAGCCGAGGCCCCCTGCGCAATGTGAGGCCCCATGCAGCCTGCATGATCGGCCTGTAGGGAGGGACGGCCCTGGTCTTAGAATTTGTATTTATAAGTAAGACATTAGAGAACATCAATGTTTTTTAAATATAGTTTAATTGTGTGAGAATATATTGTATTGTGTGTTTGTGTGTGTGTTCTGACTGTGCATACCATCAGCACTTGATTTATATCCAGGGCAGTAGACAGAGCTGATTTCCTCATATTTGGGGTCATGGATGGTGTAGTCAAAGGGCATCGTCTTCACAATGTCTGGGTTGGGCCAGGAAACATTGGATGGGTGGTACAGCACCCCCTCAGCCTGACAGCCTTTATGAACACATTTAAAATGGTATGCATTACATTTGGAGTTTACAGCATGAGGAGAATTCAATATAAGCATATATTCTGAAGACAAATTGACAAAATCCTCAATATACGATCATATGATTTAGCGGCAACAATAGTGAAACACTGAAAATTAGAAAATAACTTGAACATAATGAAAATTAAGGTAGATTGGATAGCCAGAGAAACAGTGGCAACTGCAAAAAATATACTCACTGTAGTTGATGTCTTCTTCATCGTAGATATCCACCTCCATCAACCTGATCAGCATCCGGGACAGAATACCCAGGAAGTGCAGGTACGCTCCTGTCTTACCCACCTGCCGATGACAAGAGAAATGTAAACAAACAGACTATCATGAGCTTGAGTTTGAATACAAAAAGAAATGAAGACAATAAGAACCTGTGGAGGTCCACTGAGCAGCAGCCTGCGAGGATGAAAGTTGTCGCTTCGTCCTTCAGTGCGGTTGCTGCTGTCCATGTGGTAGGAGCGAGGGACCATCCACTGGCGATAGTACAGTGACTGCTCTGTACATGTCATCATCTTACTCAGCAAAGGCCTGAACACAAAATATTTCGTAATGAATTTCCTCTGAGGTATCATCTGATTTTTCCGTGACACATTAGGTGAAAGGTCTGGAAGCACCAATCTGTGTACCAATATGTATTAGCCATTCTGGTAGTAATAAAATAAAACAGGATCACAGTACTTAAGCAAATCAACGCAGGCGTACTGTTCAGACTTTTTTACCCTCACAGGATTTTAATTCGAAACATTATTTCACAATGAGCCAATTGACTTTATCTTAAACAGTAAGATGAACATGTGTTGGTCTGCCTGAATTACGAAAAATCAACAATTTCTGATTGCTACACGCTAGTGGCTGATAAATGGTGAGCTTTTATATCTGTTTATCACACTGTATGTGTTGTTGTGTTTCACTTTTACCTGAAGCTGCTTGCCCATGCGACAGACATGTGCGGCAGGAATGATGTACATCGGGGAAGCCCGCTGCTGTCACTGGCTGTGATAATATCGTAGAGGGCCCGAGGGAGGAGCACAGAGGGGGGGCGACTCACACCTCGCGCCCAGGAGCAGCTCAGGTGAGGAGAGGAGGCTTGCGGAGACAAGGAGCCAGAGGAGGTGGATTTGGAGTGTTGGCGACGTGACCGAGCAGAGGGAGGGGGTTGAGGGTTGGGTATTTGGGAGTGGGACTGGGGCTGAGTGAAGGGTTGGGAATTTGTTTGTGCCTGGGAAAAAGTCTGCACTTGAGGTTGGTGCGATGGAGTTGGAGGATATGGAAAAGACTGAGAGGGCTGAGGTTGGAGTTGAGTCAGTGATTGTGAGGGAGGTTGAATGGTGTCTGTTGTCCCTTTCTGGACATTTGGAGAGGTGGTGCTTTGTGCAGGGAAGGGATCTGAAGCTCCGCCCTCTGGACATGACTGGAGCTGCTGGCTGCTGGACAGAGGGGAGTCCCCTGGAAACATAAGGAACGGAGTAAGTAGAAAATAAATAATAAGTTGCGAGTGAACACACATTTTTAAATCTCACACAACCGTTCATTGTATCTCACCATTGTCTTGTCCCTCCTCCTCCTCATTGTCAGTACTGCTGAGTTTCTCTGCGTCACTCTCCAGCAGGTCACTTCCTGGTCCGGGGTTTTGTGGGGGTCGAGACTCTGCTCTCACTAGATAAGCAGCCAGACCTAGCTCTTGTTCCAGTGTGGTTCGCTGAAGGTATGAGCAGCTTATCACTCTGAGATCACAGTACTTCAATGACCTGAGGGCAGAATAAATTCACTGTTTAAACTCCAGATTATATTTACCTCACCGTCTGTGGCTTACCTGGAAGTACACAATGGTGTAACACTTAGAGGAGATTTCATTATTCTCAGGTTTGCTTAAAGTAAAACCTGATTTCTTTACTTAAAGTTAACATTTCCCAATGGAAAATAACTATGAGTGTTGGGAAGATTCGGTTGAGGTTTCTCATGAAAGTCATTGAGTTAGGATTAGAGCTTTTGGTGTGTACCTTGGCATAGATTCCCCCTGGGGCTCGGCTCCTGACAGGATCAGGATGCAGGGAAGGGCCTCCAGCTCCAGGTAGGTCTGAGGAACCCAGTCAGCATCCTGGATCTTTAGCCAGGTCTAAAGGATAGATAATATGCAATTTTCAAAGTCATTCAGTGTATGTGTAATTCTCTACTCGTAAAAACACAAATCATTCAAGTATTTATCTTGTATCTCATGATATTATGACCCACTAGCCCACCTTGATCTGATCAGTGAATCTCTGTCCAATACTCAGCGCCTGGTTTGGATTCCCCAGTATGATTTCAAAAGTGTCCTCCAGACCCAGCTGCCTCCTCACTCTGGAGAGCCGCCGGTGGGCCCATGCTGCCAGAGACTGAGAGGGGATCCGCAGCAGGACCATGTGCCCATGGTGGGTGGGACATTGCTGGGCCGCAGTGAGCAGTGATTGTACAATCTCTAGGGTCTCCACTGATGTGTGTTTGTGGAGATTGTGGGAGCTGCCGATTTTGCCGGATGCAGCCATCAGAGCCACGCAGTAGTGTTGGATCAAAACTGTGGTCCGGATCACAGAGCTGTGCAATTTAGGAAACCTGGGACAAAGAGAGACATTTTAACGGCTTTTCGCTTTTGTGTAGGCATTCAAATTATTCAGACTTGCTTATGAATAATAGGGTGTTGGTGTTGATTAAATATGTGTTTTTTTTACCTTTCTTCCAGAGCAGAAGCCATGCTTTCAAAGGATGAATCATAACGCATCAGTGGCAGACTGCTCCCTGAGCGGGTCGACTCTAAAAGCTCCGACACACCAAAGTAGCGCGTCTTCTCATGGTACAGGTCCACATCCTACACAAAATCACACAATGTAACACGGGAAAACTCGCAACCAACGTGCAGATATGTGCCACGATTGTGCGTTTGTATCACACAGAGAATTCAGTCTTACATTACTGAATGCAGAGGGCCAGTGGATCTCATTGTAGGGACTGATGCGGGTATACTGTGTCTGCAGAGCGAAGGGGAAGGAGGTGACGTGGAGAATCAGGATGTTTGGAGCATCTCTGACCTGACAGGAGTTTAACAGCTGATCCACCAGACCCAGTCCACTATCTGAGGTACTGTGGGAAGAACAGAATGAGAGAAAGAGACAGAGACTCAGAAAAGGAGAAAAAGCACTTTACTGCTTTGTTGATGCTCTTGTTGTACCAGGTTGTTGCATTGAATAAAGTTATCATTCTGCACCAATTACTCACACACACACACGCACGCACACACGCACGCACACACACACACACACACACGCACACACATACACACACACACCTGTTAATGTCCCAGTGGGCGTGGTCATGGACCAGGATGTAGAGTGTGTAGGAGTTGCTTTGTGCTTCCTGGATGAGGTTTTCAATCCGTGCCTGAGCGTTCTGGTCCATCTTGACCACATATCGCTCAGCATCCCGTTGAGACACACACTCCTGGTCTAAACCCCCCAGCTCCTGAAGGACACCTGAGATAAGCAGCCAAAGAAAATAGGATCAACATAAAAACACACAATATTTAAAAGACAACAAATGATTGGAAAAATACTGCTATGGAATAAAGAGCTATGTCACCAACCAGAGCTCCAGAGGTGGAAAACAGTTTGCTGAAATGTGACCTCAGAGGGCGGGACCAGGATGAGGAAGCTGACCCGGTCGAAGGAGCCAAGATCCAGGTTCTGTGTACTGGAGTCTGCTATGGCACAGACATGGGACAGCAGCTTTCTGGCCACCGCCAGCTGAATGGGACGAACCTCACGCCACTTTACGGAGTATTCTACACACAGACACAAATTCATGTCATCATATTCAATCAAATATTTATATTAAATATATTGATAGTCCTGTTAACAACTGTGCAAAATTAGAATGGGACACAAAAATATACATGAAGATATCATCTATGACTATTCTTTCATATTTTCTATTGAATAAAAATGATTCCAAGGAAGAGTTGCATCAGCAATTTGACAGAAGGCAAAACAAAGAAAAATACAAGTAAGACTAAACCAAATGGTGTAAAAAAAAAAAAAATGAAATAGTTTGGATTAGTTGTGGAAAAACCTTCTTAGAGTCTTTTCTACCTTTCTGTGTCTCACCTGAGCAGGTGTCTTTGGGACTTGAAGCTCTCCCTTTAGGGCTGGGTGAGTCTTTTGAATTCTTTGGACTGGGTGTGTCTTTGGGACTGCGTGTAGTTTTAAGACTCTTCTCTTCAGCTGAGTCCAGACAACTGGATAAGGGAGAGGGCTCGTTGCTGTCTAAGGTGGCACTATCCAGCAGGGAATCCAAATCACCGTCTGAGAAACACAAAGGCAGACCTCAGGTTTATGAATCGTGCCAAAAAAAACTTGAACATACACAGAAATGTGATTATAAAAAACGAAGACACACCCTGTCCGAGAGAATTGCAGTAGTGGATGAGTTCCTGGGCAGCACCAAGGGAGAGCTGGTGGTTTATTTCTTTAAGACCCTCATTGGGAGAGTACATACTCTCTGCCAAGGCACGACACTGGTGTTTACCTGCGACACACACAAAGGCAATAACATAAAAGTCTGCTTATTATTTCTGTTTAATGCTCTGGTCAATTTAACAACATTTACATGCATACAAAAACAAAACTCCCACCTGTGACGACCACACAGGACTGAGTTTCCTGTCCCGGTACAGAGACGATAATGACCACGTAGTTGGTGTTTTCAAGACGTCCTTCCATCAACCTGCTGACTGTTTGCTGAAGGCCTTGAGCCAAAGAACCAATCTTCTCCCCTAAAACCACCACGCCCTCTCCACAAGACGACGCAGCCAGCTGGGCCAGCCAAGGAAGCTGGCTGGGGGTCAAAGGTGGTTGGCTCTGGGGAAGTAGGGACAGATGCTGGGGGAGCCCAGGCAGGATGGAAGAGGTCTAGAGACAGAGTAGAGAAGAATTAAGCTATGTTTTTTTTGGTAATATATATTTTATTGACATTTGGCAGCAAACAATTACAGTGTTTTTTCAAGACACAGTAATTTGTACATCTTAAATTTGTCTGTCCGAAATGCCTTTTTCTTTTTTACACAAAGACAAAATAAAAACCGTAAAAAGTAGGAACAATACGAACATTAGGGAGTGATCAGGACTTCATAGTAAAATCATATGTTTGTAAAAATAAAATCTGGCCTATGAGGTTTTACCAAATCAGTCCACTTTCTCCATCGTGACACAAATAGTTGAATTTAGCTATGTTTTAATACACATGTGCTGTTACCCAACAATGACTCATTTGTTGTTTGATGTCATTTGCCTTTTAGTCTTATTTAAGGATGTTGCCTCATTTATGTGACAAACGTTATGCTCGGATGTTAGGACTCGCTTGTAAAATAGATTCTAAATGTATTATTATAATATACAGGGAATATTCCTGGTAAAATATTGGTAAAAACTTTACTTAAAAACGATATTCTTTCTATATGATATCATATGTAATGTAACATTTGATAATGGGACAGTCTCAGACATCTGACCTCTATGCCGTAATGCCTCCCTTGGCTGGCCGGTGTTTGAGGCTGCTGGTACTGTCTGATCTCGCTGAGGTGAGACTCCCTCCATGACCTCATGAATATCTGCTCCAAGTCCTCTATCAGGGGCACCTGGTCAGGACCTGGGGTGAATACATGTGGTGGACAAGAATGCAAAATACATTAGAGAAATAATTAAAATTCTAGTTTGGTGATAAACAAAAGAAGGTCATAATATTGATTCATTGTTAAAACCTGCCTCCTAGTGGCCATTATTAAAACAGCAAAGATATCATGAAGGGTCAATCTTCTGCCTGCTCTTTGGATTCAAGGATTCAAGGCTTTCATTGTCATACGTACATAGCTACAGTGTACCGGTAGTTATGACAATGTAATTCTTAGGTCACAGGCTCCTCCAACAGTGCAACACAATTAAACTGATAGTGCAAGTAAATAAAAAGTAAACAAACACTGAAATAAATCGAAGAAAAGGCAGAGTTGGAGAGGAGCAAAAGACACGGCAGCCCTCATCCGGCGCCATCTTATGTGAAATGTGTATGTTTAAAGCCTTTCTCCTACAACAAGGTTTTCCACTGACCTAGCTGAACAAGGTAGTAGACTGTGAGAAGAATCTGCATCTCTGTGGACAATGGCTGAATGGGTGATGGTCCGTAGTGCTGGTAGACTCTGGGGAGTGTCTGAGAGCTCAGGTAACAGCTCTGGAGCAGAGAACTCACGAGCACTTCACTGATGTTTCCATTCAGCTGAGGGAGAGAGCCATGCCCTGTATCAATGAGACAGATGAACAAAGTGAGGAGGCTGGAAATAACTTGGACTCAGGTGGTGGATTTGACAATACACGTTAGCCGATCAAATTCACTTCTTTATGCGTGGTAATGTTTCTTCTTGAATAACTTGTTCCTAAACAATGACAATAGATAGCCAAAAAAACACAATGCAGACATCTCCATGGGTCAATTGTACCTACAATTGTCTTTTATGATACGAAAAGACTCTTTGTGTGATTTGCTATATTAGATTTTGAATTGCTTTGTATTTCTATCAGTTACTTAAGAAAGTATTGCAATGAACCCAAGTGGAGAACAGTTGTTGTACAGGATTGAGTCGTGGGAAAATGCAGTTCTATCTAATCCCAAGGGACAGAGTGGGGTAATAGTAGGGATAGGAATATATAATGGGAGGCACAAAGAGAACTTAAGTGGAACTGACAAGTTTGTTGCTTGGAGAGGTGAAGGGCAGATAGGTGATGAATACAAAAACAGAAAAAACCCACTGGGTATAGGTGGTGGTTTGGAGCAGAGAAGATGGAGAGGATGATGAGTTGACAGGTGATACAAAGAGGTGAAAAGGTTGGAGGGCGGGCACATAGACTGAGGAAAGGCCTCAGGAGTTGGCTGACCTCTAACCTGTGAGGAGAGTCACCCTAACCTGACCATCTGTTGGGCAAAGACCTGAAAACATGTTGACCTGCTTGAGAAAGTCCAGTACTTAGAGCTGGTTGTCAAATGATCACCAAACACCAGCTGGTCATTAATGACTTTGACTGATTTGTGAGTCAACTCTGTCACAAGTACAAATAAACTTGTGTAGAGAAAGTGCATTTTATTATCCAATATCAGTGATAAAGTTGCTGATCTGACCTTTGAAGATGACAGGTTGCAGTCTGCAGGTGTGCAGCAGCTGATCAGGGATTGTTACTGCCAGCCCTGGTGGAGAAAGTGGGGTCAAGGAAGCCTGCGAGGAACTCAGCGGGGCTACAGTCTCTTTAGAAACAAGTACATGTACCTTTAAAAAAAGACCCACTCAAACGTCATTTCTGTTTATATGCCAAATGTCTCTTCTATTATTTTACCTGATCTGGCTCCATGTGTGAGGAGAGAGGACATGGATGATGCTGATGAGGCTGATGAGGCTGATGAAGATGGTGGGGTCTTCACAGCGCTCTCCGTCACACTGTTGGCAGAGGACTCAGGCGACCAGCCCTTATGCCTCTTTTTTGGAGGACCAGCGTTTACATGGGACCCTGCAGAATAGACACAAATATCAGTGAGCACATTGGCGTAAATGTTTGTACGTTTAATGTTAACAACATACTAACGGATAATAACGGACTAATTCAACTTTAAAACATACATTTTTTTATTTTAATAATTGTTTTAGATGTTCCTATTACAGTTTGTACTCCTTTTTCCTAAGCAAAGGGATATTTTTGCTGCTCCTGCTTTATATTAGTCTCTGCAATTTCATTTTAGGATTTTTATTTTTTTCCCGCTCTTTCTCAGTGACACACTTTCTACAAAACAGTTTACTTTAAGAATGATTTCCTGTAGAGCAGAGGAGTCACCTTTCTTATTCTAATAACCCATAAATCAACTGAATAAACACTAAATGATGTTTTAGGGTAGGCTTCTGTGGATACAGTAATGCAGTTGTATTTAAGTCATACATTAACCTGTCTCTTCCTCTTCCTGTCAAACTCTGTTGAAATGCAGTAATAGGCAGACACATAAAAGCTCCACTTGTTAAAAGGGTCATGAAAAAAACAACATTGACAGGAAGGAAGCTTTTCATTCAGCGGGAAAGCTAAGAAATAGAAGAGACAGAGAGGGAATTTTATAACCCTGTTTAATAGAGGTGACAGACAGAGGGAGAGGGAGGGAGAGCCGGAGAGACAAAGGACAACCCCCCACACACACTGCAGCTGCCTGGCCCTGTAATGCAGAGTTTTACAACACACACACACGCGCACACACGCACACACACACACACACACACACACACACACACACACACACACACACACACACACACACACACACACACACACACACACAGATAGTGTTCCCTCTCAGAGGTGTGAAGAAATCAAGGGGAGGGGCTTAATGACAACAAACCATGTTTACATGTAGTCAGATAATATGGTTAGTTCGTTAGTTAGTTTTCAGATTTCTTCAATAAGCTCTTTAGTTTTGGCATATTTCAAAAGTGGTTTAACAACAATTATTTAAACTATTTAATATTTAACCCTGGCTTTTTATTTTTGGCATATTTAAAAAAAAATATAACACAATATGAAAAGTAGTGTTTTTCTTAAAGGGATTATTTCAGGAATCAAGATTATATAAAGATTATATAATCTCGAAAACCCACACTAACATTAATTGTAAATTCAAAGTATTAACACTGCGCGTTCATAACACCATTCTGATAAATACATTGTTATTATAACAAAAAGCATCTAAATGTATAGCTGTGCACCATGTGTACCTGTAGCTGAGGGTCTCCCAGGCCCCGACTGATTTAAAGATGTCTGGGCGACGGAGGGAGCAACATGGATGCCATTTGCCAGCGGGTGGGGGGCATCTGCTACTTGTGGCAGATTAACCGGGTCCGAATTTGATCCTGCTGTGTACACATAGAAGAAAATGTTTAAAAAACAAGAATTACTATGACTTTTCATAAAAAATAGCCATCTGCTGGTTTAATCAAGAAAGGGTGTCTGTCAAACATTTGCCATATTCATTCAATGATCTCATAGTCCAACTAGAGACTTCAGGCTGGAACAACAAATTATTATTTTCATTATCAATTCATTTGCTATCGAGGTCAATTATTTGTCAATAATGTCAGAAAATAGTGAACCATTTCTATCCCAGAGAAGCATGGTTCCTCTCCACATGTTGTGTGTGTGTGTTACCTGTGTAGCCACCAGGTGTGTGTAAAGTGAGTGTAGGTGCCGTGTTTGGTGGTGGTTCATCTGATGCCACATGGCCTTCTGGGAGAATGGACACCGTCTGTCTCATCCTGCCATCTAAAACACACACAGACACAATATTTGAGTAAATGTATATGACGAGACAGACAGAGACATTTCAGGAGGTAGTTTGGCACATTCACTTATTTGTGGTGCAAGTGTGTCTGGAAATACTTATGTGTAATAATTGCTGGACACAGTTTCTGTTTCAATCAGCAGGAAACACATTTTATAATCCTCCCTTTCTCCTATTTCATACCCCTTTCATAAAAAAAGCCAGGAAAAGGGTCACTTTGTGAGGAATGAGAGACCAATGAGACCAACATGTTCCACTGACAGTGAACGCAATGTGTTAAACTCGTGTCTGTCTCTGCTCTGCCATCACAAACATTTAGATCAACCTGTTTAGTTTGATTAATGATAACTGTAGGGCTACAGTAAGCTCTTATGGACACAGAGTAAGCAGAGTTCCCCATTGCTGCATAGCAACAGACTTGTTTTTCTCAGAAACACGTTGCATAATCTCCTCTATATCAGAACCTCTTCACGCTTTGAAAAGAAGATCCTTAAGAGCTTACTGGCAATAACATGTACTTTCATTGTTAACACAGATACACCAAACATCTTTCTCCGATAAAGAAGTCTACATTTGTATTTCCCTCTGCAATAACAGGAGAAAGAATTAAGAACCAATTGGAAACAACATGGTAATGTTAGAAGATGCACATGATTAGTGTGCATTTCACAGAAATGTTTACAAGGCTGTGTCTATAAAAGCATTTTCATTTGATGGGTGACCTCTAGGCTGTGGCCTCTGAGTCACCTTTCACCTGTCCTCAAGGCTTTACTAGCTGTCCATCTGGTCAGACCCATACTGTACACACATTGTTCTCCCATCCCAATACAAATCAGATTTTTAGACTTTCATGATACAATGCTAGACCTAAACATAAATACCTTTAATGTAATACATTGATCAAGCTTTGGCTTTAAGTTCCCACTCATTTTATCAATGTTTTTCTTCACTTGTTTGAGTTCAATAAAGAACCATTGCAGAAGAGATGCACTAATGGCCACTGCTTTTTATCTAATCATCTAAATCAAATCCTAAGAATGTCCACATTTGGCGGGATAAAATGAATCCAGTTGCCAAATAAAACATGGTATCCATCTCTCACCGTGTCCCCTCCAGCAGATGGGAGCTCCTTTCATCAGCACGCCTTGGTTGTTCCTGTACAGATGGTGCTTCAAGTGCTTCTGTTTCTTGGGCTGGGTGCTGAGCTTCAGGTTAATGTGGTTGGAGAACTCAGTGAAATAGCGAAAGCCTTTCTCTCCGCAGCCCATACAGTTTCCTAAGAAGCCTGGAGGGTGAACACATGCGAAATGTAATGTTTTCAACAGGCTGCATTATATGTTTCTACAGTTGTACATCTAGCAATCTTGGTCATGTAAAAAATGCATTGTCAACTACTAGGAATAGTGCACCATTAGTTTTAGGAGTGATAGTATGTTTTGAATCTGGAGAGTCTGGGTTGCTGTTTCCCTATGTCTTAGGACTTGTTGCTAAGCTAGGCTTGTCCCATCTCCTCTGTATTTGAACCACAGACCCAAGATGGATTATCTTAGTAAAGGTATTTACTAAAATGTTGAACAAAAAGGAGTCCTGAAGGTTGACATTGTGACTTTTATCAAACAGTGATGATATTTCCTGTTTCTCTGCGAGTCTCCCGCCTCACCTAGCAGTGCGTTGTGACCCCGTTCGTCTGGAAGGAAGCGGCGGTCCACTGCACACACCAGCAGGGTCTCCGGGAGGGAGGGGGACTTCACCCCCACCAACATGAACCCAGCGGACACATCCAAGGGATCTGATGCCAGCGAGGACAGACGCAGGTCCCGGCCTGCCTGACAGAAGCCTGTGGGAAGGAAAAAACAGGTATTTGGTAACTTTTCTTTTAAGATGGCTTTATCTTATTACATGTTAGATGTTTTTATCCAAAGTGACTTACATACTCAATACTGTGGGCAATCCCCACAGGAGCAATTTGGGGTGAAGTGTCTCAGGGACACAACGACATGCTGACTGCAGCGGGGTTTGAACCTGTGACCCCCTGATCCAAACACCAACACACAACCCACTGCACCACAAACTTCTTATTGTACATCAAGTAAGACGAGCAACGATATGCACGATGCAGACTGCTACTTTTCTGCTTCTATTGTCTCCTGGTGCAAACAGTAACTGTAATGCAGTGCAGTAAGAAATGTGCATGATGTTTTCTTAGATCTTGTGTGTGTGTGTGTGTGTGTGTGTGTGTGTGTGTGTGTGTGTGTGTGTGTGTGTGTGTGTGTGTGTGTGTGTGTGTGTGTGTGTGTGTGTGTGTGTGTGTGTGTGTGTGTGTGTGTGGGTGTGTGTGTGTGTGTGTGTGTGTGTGTGTGTGTGTGTGTGTGTGTGTGTGAGTGAGTGAGTGTGTGTGTGTGTGTGTGTGTGTGTGTGTGTGTGTGTGTGTGTGTGTGTGTGTGTGTGTGTGTGTGTGTGTGTGTGTGTGTGTGTGTGTGTGTGTACAAACCATCTGTTATGCAACATCCATCAGGTGGGGTCTTCATCTGATAGGGTAGTGGAGGACTGTTAGACTCAGAGCCATCTTCATCGTCGTCATCGTCATTCTCTGTACGGCCTATTGGAATACACAAACAAATATTTATATTTTAATGATGAACAAGTGGATATAGATTTAAGGAAATACGCTATTTTTTGTTGAACATGTTATCCACACCTTCTCTTTTGCATCGCTGCAACCCACCATTATGTGTCAATGGCTGCTCTGTCTCGAGGTAAAGCTGTGAGAAAACAGGTCGGGGCACCACGGTGTTGGACCTCAGCGATGCCTCAATGGAATTATGGAGGACTTCCTCAAAGCGCGTGGTCCGCAGCTGGCCTGCATAGGAGTTCCCCATTGGTGTCCTGCAAAAATATTCTGTTAACTTTGACAGCAATTAGGTTGCATTGACTATTTAACAAGAGTTCAATGCGGTAAGTGTCTAATGAACTTTAAGTTTGAGAAAGAAACTGAATAGATATCAGTCATATCTGATTAACTATGTCCTCTTAAGAAAGAAAAAATAATGAAATAAACTCTGACAACTAAAGGATTCTNAACTCACTAGTCACGCACTCAGCACCATCAGACAGGTTTTTAGGAATATGAGAATGTCCACATTTCCAGGTATTTATAAACTGGGATGTTTGGGCATTTACAATTAAATGCCCAAACATCCCAGTTTATAAATACCTGGAAATGTGGACATTCTCATATTCCTAAAAACCTGTCTGATGGTGCTGAGTGCGTGACTAGTGAGTTTGAGTTGAGTTACTTGAAAAACTAAAGTGAAACTTGATTTATTTTATTGCAGGGTCTGATTATTAAATGTCCTTGTTTATTTGTGAGATGCAGTGGCATAAAGAAAATGCTTACTTTGCTTGGTAGTACTGGTAGGTACAAAAACACTGGTTTTCTTGTTCCAGTCTGTTACTGTCACTTTGTTTTTGACACTTTAAAATACTGCTATCCTACAAAAATGCTGTAAAAATCAGATTTATTATGTAATAAAAAAACATTTTCCGAGTAAAAAAATGTTTTATTGAAAAATAAATTTATGAATTTTTTTTTCCTACCCTTTATTATTCAATATCGTGATAAATACCGTACCGTGGACTTGTTATCGCGATATTATCGTACCGTGAGTTTTTGGTATCGTTACATCCCTACTGCTTACCCATTCCAACAGTATATAACAAATTACAGCCTAATAATGACAGCTTAACCTTCTCTATATCGCCTCGTTCACACATTAAATCAACAATACAACTAGATTGTATAAGCATTTAGTTCAAATGCGATTTAAAATCCTCTCAGGTTTTACACCTCTTATTATGAAATGTAGACTACATTTATTATGTAGTATTATTTTTAAACACGAGTTTATGTCCGAGCAACAGACTCACAGATTGTTGGCTACTGAGAGATATGCAAAATACACCGCATGTAGTACGACACAAACCTCCGCTGTGGATTTTCAAAACAAAATACAATAAAACTATGGTCGCAGCCCCAGTTTAACTCTCTGAGGCCTGCATGGTCTGCCCCAACAACAGCCTCTGATCATCAACAGGCTTCATGCAATGCTTCATCAGATGCATATATTAGATAATAATCTCTATCTCACTCCTAACACATCTAAATCTACTTTCAGCACGGATAAATGTTCATAAAATACATCCATTGTTTGTTCTATATGCTTCTTGAAATCCTAAAAAACACATAGTTTTTCTAGAACAGATTACAAATCGCCTGAAAATGGTACAAACAAGTGGCAACATGTGTGACGAAGGTGTTGCACTGGGCTATAGTATCATGCAATCGAAAGTGGAATTCCCGCGAGAGTTGACAGGTGTCGCCAGTCTCTGGCACTGTTATTTTGGGGGGTTGAAAAGTTTGGGAACCCCTGCTTTAGGGAACATTGTTTATTGTGGTACCCTGGTCCATATTTGTTTTCATGCGGATTTGTGCACAGCTGACTTTGGGTTGAGAGGATGTTTTGTAAATATAGTATTTTTTTAAGTGTGACTAAAATGTCTCTAATCACAATAATGATATCCTAGAATATGACGTCATGATATTTTGATCTTTCAATTAAATGTTTCTCCCCTATCTAGAGCCCGGATTGCATCAAAAGTCCAATCTTCACCCCCACCACCGGTCGTCATGAGCATGGTCTGTTTAACCTGTACCATGCTATGGATGGAGCCTCACATCTACATATCCTGGTAGTCAAAGAATATGAGATGGCCGTGTATAAAAAGTACTGGCCCAACCACATCATGCTGGTTCTGCCCACTGTCTTCAACGGAGCTGGAATAGGTATGTGTCTGCTTTATAATTACATATATGTGAGACTTCTTAACGTATACACTGACACATACAGGAGTCAAAAGTCAGTATAAGCTGTTTTTCTCATAGTGCACCACCTTCATGACGTCTGTCTCTAGGTGCTGCTCACTTCCTGATAAAAGAGCTTTCGTATCACAACTTGGAGTTGGAGCGCAGTCGGCGTTTGGAGGGAGGGGGCCCAGCCGGCGACGTCTGGCCCTTCATCATCCTGACCGATGACTCCTGCGTTATGTGGAACGCAGTGGACCTCGACGTGCGCAAGTACATACAAGCACATTATTTATTTGAAAAAAAAAATCAGGCAAAATTGCAGTTGCTTGTATTAGTTGTAGTTGTAAATTGATTCATGTTATGAGTTGTTTTTAACATAACTACTGTTTGCTTTCTGCTGTTTTTAGTGGAGCAGTGGAGCACGCTGTGTCACTGAAGCACATCTTACAGCACATGGAGGCCTGTCCGGACCTGCCACACTACGGACTGTGTGGGGTCAGGAAGTGGAGCAGCCGCGGACTCACAGGTCAGGGGTCACCATGTCAGAAATCCAGAAACACAAAAACCCAAGATTGGATTTGAGAGCATTTCAGTCTTTGCAAATACAAATGAACTGAACACATATGAGTAATCCTACACACATAATGTAGCATCATAAGATCAACTAATGTAGTAACTATTGAAAGGCCATTGTATTTGACTGCAACTGAATACTTGAAAATGAACGGCTCTCATGCCGAGATTTGTTTGAGTTACTTTTGACATAGCATGTTAATAACTTTATGAGTTAGCCAGAAAGTCTCGTTGTTATCTGGTGTCCCCGGGAAAGCAAAAGTTACTACAAAAGTACAGACTTTAAGATCATAACACAACACATATTTGAGTCACTGCATGTTCCTCAAGATGCCTTAAAGGATTTAGGGCAGATTCTTCTTGCTGTAAAGGCCTCAGATCTCAACTGCAGATACAGATTGTTATGTCTTCAACTATTCTGTGTTAACTTGTTGTCCTGAAAGATTTAACCGATATTATTTGAAAGCAAAACTTCTCTATATCAAGCAATATCTCAGATCTAACAAAACCCCATTGTGCCTTAAATAACCAGCCACACAGATCCTCAAGATGTAAAGTGTAGAGGCTGATCACACAGCTAAAGAGATTTCAAAGTTATGTCTGAATGTTTTAGCGATGAATCACAACATGATAAAGAAGACTTCAAAACAAACATCTCTGCTTTATGACTAACATAAATGTGCATTTATTTTTTCTTATCCAGATAACAAAGTGAGGGAGCCCTTCTCAAGAGGTCACCTTCATGACTTCCTTCTCCTCAATGTCGACCGGAGCCAGAACGTCCAGTACGACCAGAACCGCTTCACCTGTCACGATGTGGACTTCACGCTGAGGCTGCACAGCGCCGGCCTGCTCGTCTGCCGGTTCAACGCCTTCAGCGTCATGAAGAAGCAGATCGCCATCGGAGGATACAGAACGTTTATTATCAAGACCAAGGTAGATGCTGAAGACACATAACAACTCAACCTACATTATCATCATTTGCTGCTGTGTGTATTGTCCACAGTAATAACTGTTACATGTCTAATATGTGTAATTGTAAAGTGCTTTGAGTGCCTTGAAAAGCGCTCTAATAAAAATGTAATGAATTATTATTATTATCATTCTCAGGGCAGAATAAAGAAAAAAGTTTGAAGAACAATTTCATTTATTTATATAACATATACTGTATAATTTGCCAGTATACAAGAAAAATATTTTCAAATAATTTATCATAACAAGTCAAATGTAAGCACTAGAATACATATTGGACTTGTTTTGGCTCAAGGCTTCAAAGACATGTATTAGTATGTCAGCTAACTAATACACGTTTGACTAGTTATCAATATAACTGTGAATGTGTGTGTGCATGCAACAGTTAAAGTGAATACCTTTGTTACAAAAAATGTATGGCAACAAAGAGGTATTAAACGTTTAATTTCTATTTGTCCAGACGACAGATGTTCCCACCTCAGTCGGGCCCTCGCAGTACATCTGTGCCCCAGACAGCAAGCACCTCTTCTTGGCCACACCTGCTCAGCTCCTCCTGGAGAAATACCTTCAACACACCAGCCAGAAGCTGTTTCCACACAGCACAAAGAACTACACACACCCTGTGCTGTCTGTGGACTGCTATCTCAACCTTGGACCTGAGGTATACACACACACATGCTCTTTGTTGTGATGAGCTATTAACCTCTGAACACAAGTAAAAGTTCCTGTACCCGTGTTTCATCGCAAAACACACTATAATAGTTTTGGGATTTTAGTGCATTTTCCTAATTTCGCAGAGGGAGGGTAAACAATAATGTAATTCATTTATGTAGTAGAAACATTTTTCATTCTGTTTTCATTCTTACGGATTTTTCCCCTTCTGAGAATGACATGGTTACTTAGTGTCCTATTTGCACGGCTCTAGCGTACGCAAAAGCCGTGCAATTGTTTGTGAATTCCCCCCCCAGTGTATTGAAGTCACTTTCTTCTCTCCTCCTGCAGGTGACGGTGTGTTTTGTGAGTTCCAGACCTCACTCTGTGAACATCAGCTCCACAGGGCTGCTGTTCAGTGGCCTCCTGCTCTGTTTTGCTGACTCCTTTGTGACTGCTGGGTTCCTCAAGAAGTTCTCCTTTCTCAAAGGTACAAAGGCAGACCAAATACAGACCCTGTTGAAAATATGCCAGTTTGTGGTTGCAACGTAGCATTTTTGAGCAACGATACTGTACAGAGCAAGCTACACATTAAAGGTCACCTATTATGCAAACTCCACTTTTTCATGTTTTGTATACATAAATATGTGTCCCCTCTGCGTAAAGAGATTATTTTTATCCTGATCCATTTATATAAAAAAATGTCTGAAAATGAACTGATCAGATTTTGACCACGTTATGATGTCATAATGTTTTTGTTACCATTAGCCAATCACCAACCAAGGTACCCCCCCACACACACCTTATCACCTGAATCTTCTCCTAGAGCACCATTGTGTTCTTTTTAACCAAATCTCTCTCAGAGGGGCGTGGGGAGGGGCTCCTTATTTTCATCTAAAGTAACAGACAGAGAATCAGCACTTTTGAAACAGAGGGGATTATGGGTAATGCTGCAATGATGTGTTTGGTATTTGGAGCCAAACACTTAGGAGAAATGTTTTGTATATATCTGAGACCTACAATAAATTGATGAAAAACAGTATAATAGGGAGCCTTTAAGTCTTAAATCTCATTCTGAATGCCTAAATGTGCTACATGTAGCATTAACGTCCAAAAAAACACATGGGGTCCTGTGACCAAGTGACGAAGAAGCATACCATGACTGCAATCAATCAATCAATCAATGTTTATTTATATAGCCCAATATCACAAATGTTACATTTGTCTCAGTGGACTTCACAGTTTGTACAGAATATCAGTATGACAATACGACACCCTCTGTCCTTAGACCCTCACATCGTACAAGGAAAAACTTCCAGAGAAAACCCACAGTTTAAAGGGAAAAATGGGAGAAACCTCAGGGAGAGCAACAGAGGAGGGATCCCTCTCCCAGGACGGACAGACGTGCAATAGATGCCGTGTGTAAATTGAAAAGATTAATTACATTTGCAACATAAGGTATCCAAATGTTTGGAAATGCATGTGGTGTATAATTAGGAAGATTGAACCATCGAGGATATCCATCCAGGGACCTTAGAGTCAGGACCCAGCAGCCACGACTCAAGATCCAGGACTCGCGATCCATGACACAGGACCGCGAGGATCATCCTATGACTCAGATCCGGCGTATATAGGATCACCAAAAAGAAAGAAATTTGGGGAACTGGTTGTTAGATTCGGAACATGAGAGTACACAGGTATAGAAAAGAGAAGGAATGAAGTAAGAGTCCCCCGACAAAACTAAGGCCTATATCATCAGAAACTAGGGCTGAATTCTAATCAGCGCCCTATGTCTATATAGCTTTATCATAAAGGAAGTCTTAAGCGCCACTCTTAAAAACGGATAGGGCTCTGCGCTTCGCGAACACAAAACTGGGAAGCTGACTCACAAAAGCGGTTGGAGCTTGATAAGAAAAGGCTCTGGCTCCATTGTTACTTTAGAGAGCTCTAGGAACAACCAACAACCCTGCATTCTTGAACGCATGCCCTAGTGGACAATAGGGTATAATGAGTTAATTTAAAGTAAGATGGCGACCTGCCCATTAAGGCGTTTTGTAGGCAGAGAAGAAGAATATTTAAATTCTTCCTGTGTTCTATAGGGAGCCAGTGTAAGGCCAGCCAGAACAGGAGTAATTGTGGTTCCCTTTTCCAAACTCTGGTAGTACACGAGGCTGCAGCATTTGAATCAGGCCTGAAGCACGATCTACAGAATTCCCAGCCATCTCAGGGAACGCAAGAATAAGAACAATGTCGACCCCTACTTGCCATTCCGGTTGACTTGATTTTAAAAATGAAAACCAGGAAATTGTTTTATGTTTTGTGGAATCCATCATCTCAATTAACATATCTAATGCTTAGAATAACTACTTACAAGACAAAATGGGACAATTCTGTGCTTCTAATTGTAGTATTGCCATTTAACTGCTGTAGCGTCCACACCATACTGATACAATAGGCCTCTAACTAATTACCTTATATAAACTCAGCGTAATTAATGAAACCAGTTCAATACAGCATTTTTATTCATTCTTTATAGCGCAGCT